GTCGTGTGATGGACATGTCGTGAATTGATATGCTGAGACACATGGTGTCAGTCTGCTTTATGCACATTTGTATTAATGCTATCATGTTGATAAACTTTGCTTTGCTGGAGGATAAATGACTTTCAGCATACAGCAAAAGGTGAACCAGCAGAAAGTTGTCATAGCTTTAAAACTAAAAGAATGACATTTCATAGTGAGTTGATAGTGGATGAGCAGATCAACACAGCTGTGAAGTCAACCTTCTTCCAGATTAAGTTACTAAATCACCCCTCTCTCATCTTGAGATGGTTCGCAATGCTGTAGCTCCTTTCCTCATAAGTATAAGTCAATGAAATCATATAACCCAGTTTTGGCCTGTCCTTACTGGTTTTCAAAATGTTACAGACCTGACAGCTTTTTACTCATAGCTTAAGACATTCATTCATTCATTTACATTGGCTTTTAATACATAGTTCAGTGTCATACATTTTATTTAATCTAGATCTTGTATTCTTTGCATTTTATCATGTAGTCACTGGATAAGAGATCCCTTTGGAATCCACATGGAAAGCGTTGTGTGTGCCAAGTAACAAGGAGAATCAGCTGGTCAAGCTGTCATATGGCCAGACGCTGAGAAAGAAATTTGATGAGATAAGCCTCCCCCATTTCTAGTGCAAATATGTGATGTCTGAGTATCTCTCCCCCGCTACATTGGCAGTCAAAGCAGCCTACCATTCACAACAACCAATCTGTGTTAGGCTTCTCCACTTTGGTACAGCTCAAGTCAAAGCAAAGGAACAGGTTGGACACTGAACATGATCTGAGAGTAGCTCTGTCTACTATGAGCCCAGACATTGAAACTCTTGTCAGAACTAAAGGATAACTACAGCTATCTCATTAGTTCACTGTACACTTGCTTATAAAAGTGATTAACCTTTTTTCAGTCATAAATAAACATTGGCTCATAATTGATATAAAATGAACAAATACAAAATAATTGGACTGAAAAACCAAGAGCAGTGTAGCTGTTCCCAAGTCCTGTTGCTGTTTGTCATTCCAGGCTTGTAGTTAAAAGGTTTGTTCTGACATCAAATATCTGTATTCATTCATACTATTTGAAAAAGTCGGTATATATTTTGCTGTTGTAATTTTAAATTTAAAAAAAACACAGTAGTAAGGAGGACCTGGATTTATGTGTGTCAGCAATGCTTCTAGCTGTGGATCACGTCTGTGTCTTGCCCACTGTCTGCATTTCTCAGCCATCTTAGCAGACTCTGCAACAGCACAAGCATATGTATTTAATAACAATAAATAACCTAATCAAACTTTCAAAAATTATTCAGCATTTACATGCCTCTGTACAAACACCATGTTACCTTAACTAAAGAGTTGACATGAATTATGAGTTTATTTTAAATAAAGAGCTTCATGTCTACTTCACTAGCTGTTAGCATGCTGAAGCCTAATACTGTATAAGGCTTCGACATGCTAAGTGAGCCGCGATTCTCTTATAAAAATGATTCAGACCGTTCAAAATTTATTCAGTGTTCACCTGCCTGAGTATAAACACAGTTTAACCTGAACTAAACCGTTCACATGAATTATCCCGTCCCCTTACGAATCCTCCTGCAGGTGGTGGGCCCACAGGAGGACGTCCCCACGTCACTCGTTCGGGCTAAGCCCGGCCGGACCCCGTGGGGGGAGGCCCGGCCACCAGGCGCTCGCATTCGAGCCCCAACCCCGGGCCTGGCTCCAGGGTGGGGCCCCGGCTGCGCCATGCCGGGCGACGTCACGGGACTTGAACTTACTCTGATCATAAGGGGCTTTTAACTAAACAGTTCACATGAATTATCATGAGCTTTACTTTTAATAATGAGCTTCGTGTCTACTGCACTAGCTGTTAGCAGCCTATTGTAGTGCTATGACGAAGTGAGCCACTGTCTCCTGCAAAATAAATTGATATAAGCTTACCTCGCGATGGTTCCATTTTGATATAATCCTTTTTCGGTCCAACGTGTTTAGAAAAAAGGCATTAAGCTGCTGTCTAGCAGAGCAAGTTCTCTGTTTGAAAGAACAGCCATGTTATCACCATATTCAAAAAGTCCTGCTCAACAATTGACAACAGAAAAAAAACTGTCCTTTCGAAAAAATCTCTTCAATGAGCAGCAGTGAACAACCTCACGGCAGTTCATTATTTACAATATTTACAATTACAATAGTTACAATATTTCAAAAGTATGAAATTTACAAAAAATTCTGAAGAAAAGCATGAATGTCCTTGAAGAGCTGAACATTTTGATACCTGAAATAGCTGAAAGCATGCTTAAGTAGAATTTTCCCATTCATTTGAATGGGGCAAAATTTTCAGAATAAGGCTTAATATTTTAAAAAGTATTGAAGAGCTGAACATTTGGATACCTGAATGGCTTTCCTAGCTGAAAGTATGCTGAACTAGTTGAATGCCAAAAACATACGGAAGAAATAATAAATAAATAAAGGATAACATAGTATGGGTGCTGAATCAGCATCCATACAATAATTGGATAACATAGTATAGTATGGATGCGGACAATTAAGCACAGGATAACATAGTATGGATGCTGAGTCATCATCCATACAATAATAAATAATTGGATAACATAGTATGGATACTTCACAGCATCCACGCATTAATAAATAAAGAACAGGAGAACATAGAACAAATTACGTGTGTCCTACCTGCTAGAGTGATGCCAAAGAAACTGGTGGTTGAGGTCAGATGTGAACTAAATTAATTCAGGCAAATCATTCCAATTCCAATGATCATTTAATATTACAATAATTCTAAACAGTTCGATAATTTGCAAGGCATTTCAACAGTCGGAAAGATAGGGAAGAAAATCACAGTCTCTGCATAGAAATAAACAAAAGTATTAGATCAGAATCAGTTTTATTGGCCAGGTGTGATGGACACACAAGGAATTTGACTCGGGTACATCGGCTCTCAATGTGCAAACAGTAAACCAGCATAAGGCTGTGTAATATAACAAAATAAGCAGTATTAACAGCAACAAACAGTGCAAGCAATGCAGAATAAGCAGTATAAACAGACAGTAAACAATGCAGACAACAAGGATTGTTCGTTGAAAAGAGATAAATAGGGATAAGGGATAAAGATAGAGTACTTAAAACTAGAGACCTGTACGAGTCTGTATGATCTGTACAATGTATATATACACAGGTATTGCACTGAGGGTTATTGTCCAATCATACTGTCGTGGGATAAGTGTTCATCATTGTGATGGCCTGGGGGAAGAAACTGTCCATGTGCCTGGTTGTCTTGGTGCACAGTGACCTGTAACGCCGTCTAGAGGAG